CCTAAAAGCCTATTATTACTACTGTTAACGGTAACGTCTATTTCATATTTTCTGATTTTCTTTCTCACAGATTTTATCCAATGAGGTACGCTGTGGACATTTTTGACGCCGGTAAAAGGAGGCGAGTGTGGCAGGGCTAAGGCCAATTTCTCCCGATAAGACATTATACATTTTCGTGGGAGAGCGAACTTCCCTCTTTCTTCTATCGTTAAATATGACGGTAAATTCCAATTCCGGAAATAAGTGTCCGGAGTATCTCCATAGTTAAGATGCCTCGATTAAATAAATCATAGATTATGATTATAGTGATAAAAATAGCGAACAAAAAAATATCGGATAAATTGAGTGGCGGATAAATTAATTATTCGTTCTTACAGAAGTAGAGATTTTTGTATTGTATTTGTTCTTTAGTTTTACTAAAGGCTTGCCGATAATGTTTTTTCTTACCAAAATCTCCAGTAGTTTTATACATCAAAACTTGTCATTAGCGAACTGCAGCATTGTTCTTTAGATTTCGTTCTAAATCGAGGTAGTATAACGAGTTCATACAACTGTAACAAATAATAGCTGTGACTTTAGATTTATAAATTTAAGCTATATTACCATCCGTGACATTGGTCCTTTACTCTCGAACTAATAAATTATCGGCGATCACAATATGTTATTAATAGCTATTCTAAAAGAACAGATCTTGTGATAACATAATGGGCACCATTCAAACTTTTTCGTAATCAACTTTAGTGGATATTCCCATTGATGTGCAGGACCAGAGGTAAATATCGTAACCATTTACGTTACCAGTTTTTACTAAGACACTCTCTCCACGTCTTTTGGCATACTCTTCCGCCTTAGTTAATTTTTCAGAAACTCGGGTTGTATGAACTAACCGACTGCGTTGATCTTCCGATAATATACTTTGAGGCGGGTATTGGATCTTATCTGGGTCGACAATATGCATGCTAACAATCCACGTGATGGGCATATTCTCCATCTAAATAATATAAAACCGGTTCTTTTTCAGAGACAACGATTTTTCGAATTGTAAATAAAGTCGGAGTCTATATTGGATCAGTTGCACGTTTCTGATTTTCCATGCCACCTTCCCATTCGGCGTTAGCAAGTAAATATCGAACTGTGTCGATTTTATTTAACCTTTTTTCATTATTTCCTCCTGGTCGCTTATATTTTGTGGATGGCCTAGATTCAACTCTTTCTAATGTTATTGTTATGGCTATTGCTGGAGCTAAACCCCACCTCAAAGATCCCGGAGCTCTAATGAGACATTTTGGATAATTATTCAAGTAATCGATAACTTTTGGCAGATGCTTAACCCATGCTCTTATTAATTTGGGATTTGAAGATAGAGATTCAACTGCGTATTGGAATTTATATAACATTTGCGCAAGTGTCTTATTAAATCGTTCTATAATTGCTAGCCCTCGATGACTATAAAGTCCAATCACCCGAATTGTAACATTATAATCCCGCATTAATGGAGCGGCTTTGCCCATAAACTCTCTGCTTTCATCACATTGTAATAACTTGGGCCAGACAAGAGGAATATTTGGGTTGTCATAGTTTTTTTTAAAATGCGCTTGTAACTTCTGAACTGTTCGACGTTAGCGGTATAGAATATTTGTATCTACTGACGACATCTATGACATTAAGAACCCATTTAAATATTTTTATATATATTTTATCGTTCGTAAGACGCAAAAGATCGCATTGGTGCACACAGTTTGGACGTGAAATTTTACCATAACTAACTCTTGGGATATCTTTCGGCGGTGGAGCGTATTTTTGCCATTCATTCTGGTTTATGAGCCAGTTACGCACTTTCTCGAATGGAAATTAAAATCCTTCCCGTGTAAGATCCTTCCATAAGCGTCGAGGATTAGAGTGATAAAGACGCACTAGGAATGTGGCAATGAGCATCATAACTAGCCAAATAGTCGAATTCAAGAGACGTGAACTGATCGCCTAGGCTAGATTTCGTCATACTAATACATTTATTGTACATATGGACAATGGAGATTTTCGGAAAAGAAAGAGTTTTCCTAATTGATTGCCGACTATTTTCTTCTCCATCCCTAATACACAGATCGCTGGTAATATGTTTGTAATTGTCACTGTAACACAAAATCTCATAATACGCCATATCAAGATCGACGATGGGATCAACCAATAAACATTTTCTTTACAATCTCCGCTTCATTCCGTCTTTCTTCCTCTTGTTCTAATGTCTGTATCTGACTACATTCGCATTGGCACCGATTATCGAGTCGGTACGCCACCTCGTTTAGTTTCAGTCTTTTTTACAATGTTCGATGAGGAATTGGGCCCAAGTCTCCTCTACGAAGTACCCGAAGGCTCAATAAAACCCTTACCCAACTCCACGCCGCTAATTGATTTCTCTTCCATATCTGAATATATAATTCCCAAGTCCGACTTGTGTGGACATTTAGTCTCTGTTTGTACTGGTCCATATAAAGTCATGGGTGTACCGGTCATGATTAGAAATAAGAAGTATAAGCGGCGGATGTTGGTTTTTAACTTGAGCTTTGTGTTTGATCGTAATGCGGATACGTCGAGCTATGAACCAGTCGCCAGAAAGATTGCCCGTGTCTTGACTTCGCTTGAGGTGAGATTTTGAGTGACAAGAGCAAAGCAAAGAGAAAACCTGTTCAAGCAATTACATAAATTATGTGATCTTCAAACAAAATATTTTATATATTCCCGTGTTTCTTCTTGAATCGAACAGATGGAAAGTGATTTCCTTTGGAAAACGGAGACGCGTTCCAGTGTCTATAATATAATTGAACAGTTGCTTGAGGATCTTAACAATTACTGCGAATGTCAAATTCCAATAAGTTACGCCAAGTTTCATATGTGAATGATTATGTCGAGTCAATATGCATCCTCACCTCAATGTATATATCGTCAATAGATGAAACAAACGCCCTTAATTTAAAATTATTTCCAACGTATCCCAATCCTCAGCCTGTATATGATTACCAAGTGCCGATCTGTACAGTCGATCTCAACACCCTGATTGACATGAATTGGGACATTACAGTAAAGAAGGTTAGACAACGCATAAAAGAGAGACATCGTATATTGCAATTGTTTGCTGAGTATCTTTTGCGCGCTTTTTTTTTTTAGGTTGTAGCACATATAAATGGTGTTTATCATGTAAAGAAAATAGCCGAAATAGCTGATGTTGATTATAAACTTGCTAGAGAATGCATGGAGCATTTATTGTAAGATTATTTGATGCGGTCTGTATACGTTTCTGCATTGTTTCCATTTCTAATATTTGTGACATATACAGGTATTATGGTTGTATTATTATGATTGATATTTTCCAGGTAATCATGTTTCGTATCTGTTCACATTATCATTTCTTTTACCTTCTTCTTCTGACCCAACTACTATTTCCATAGTTTTCTAATATTTACGCAGTAAGACCAGAGATCATGAGGATAATAGAAGATGAAACAGTCCAGACAGAATGCATTTCATATGTGACAGAACCAGGTTGGATATATTTTCGTAACATATCCAAATTCGATCGGATAAATGGTTTTTAACCGCAATCTATTACTTAGGTGCAATTCCCTCGCCTTTCTCAAAGATGTTTTCTCTTTATTGCTCACTGAAACGCGACGTCACACTAAAGATGTGGATAGAAGAGAATAAAGTAGCATCACTTAACATCGATACGAGGTAAATTGCGAACGAGGAGTAAAGTAACATTGCGCTTCTACAGCATTCCATTCGACTAATCTCTTTTCAAATAATACATAGGCGATTCATTACTTTTGGTGTCACAAAAGGCTTCCTTCAACGTGTACACAAATATCCAGTGCTCCCAGCATCAGCAGCAATTTCATGCAAATTAGATCCACATCTAAAAAAGTAAGCGAGCGCAAAGTTTATTGATATCGCAAATCCTTGACTTTACTATTAACATCATCCTATGATCGTCTATCTCCAGACTGTTAAACGGTCGTCATCATTACGACGACATATGCACATCCGAAAGATACAGTACAAAAGATCTTGACAAGTTGCTTTGCGATATACCGGAAATTAAATTTATTTGGAAATAACACGTCCGTATAAAAATCACTTGTACAAAGGGGTTGTAAATCATCAAGAAGTAGTACCCTCATCCTTTTTCTTCCATTCCAAGTAATTAGCATGTAATTTCTGTTGCTTTTCCCATTCTTTCTTTAGTTTCTTAATTTTGCTGGTAGACACCTCAGTCTCATCGGCATTATGTGTCGGAATTCCCTATTTATTACAGAATATAGTTTAGAGCATTCGATTAAATTAAATCCATTCACTGCCAAATTATTGTATTTCATATTTACTCACCTGTTCATCAAATGCCGAATACAACAGCACACCATTATCGTCTTTGGCCTCTTTAAACATGTCTATTGGTGCTACCTTTCCTTTCTCCAAAGCAGCCAATCTCTCCTCTTCCTTTGCTTTTGCCAACGCCTCCTTCCGTGCTGTCTTCTCAGCCTGAGCCTTCAGCTTCTCATCTCTCAATTTTAGCAACTCTTCTTTATCAGCCAATTTAACCAATGCTTTCCCGTCATCCTGATCTTCAAGTGCTACACCCAGATCAACCAACTCAATATCTCTCAATCTATCACAAAGAGCAAGAATTTCTGAATGGGGTTTATTTTGTCGAGACAAGTCCCGAATATTATCACGAAACTCTGATAAGGCTCGCAGATAAGGCAGTAGCGTATCTTCCTTGTTTGTAGCTGACTGATCAGATGAGCCGAATCCCAATTCTTCTTGAGTGTCAGCAAGGCCAAAAATTCGAAGCATCTTTGTAATATATGCCGCTACTTTTTCGACTATGCTGACGTTGATTCCGCTCCGGCCGGCTGAGAGATAGACGTTGGTTTTGTTGATAAGTTCAAGGATCTCATTCATTGCCACTGGTGCGTTTATTGAATCACAGAGTGCTTTGTGGACGGCTGCCTGCTTCTCGCGTAAGCTAATAATTTCAGGAATAACGCAGACGAGGGGAAAAAAACAACATATTATACGTGATAGCTGATGACTTTTGTTTGCTGTAATTTCATTTTCTTACACTTTAATCAAGTCTTTTTCTCCGTGTCTGTATCGATGTTTACCGTCAGATGCATGTGCTTCTCCTTTGTTTTCGTTTATGAGAGCTTTCACTTTCATAAAGAAATTCTACAAAAAATCGATCGATAATGTAAAAAATTAGCTAAAACTCGTAAGAATACCGATGAAACGACTGTTTAATTGAAACCGTACATTAATTGTAATTTCCGTGCTTCTTGCTTCGAGCATTGTTGACTCTTTGAAATCCAATTTCGAGTCCCATTGGTGGAGGAGGAAACACATACGTATTTGACGAGCCGTGTATTTTTTAAGAGCATCCTAAATGGACGGAATATTTGAGCATGATATGCACCGCGTAACATAAACTTTTGATAGTCACTGGTTTATATATATGTACCCTAATTGAAATAAAATTCTTTAAAGATTTGCTCATTTTCTGTCCTTCTACGTGCAAATGACCTGGATGGAGGAAGTAGTTAACCCATTGATGGTTGCTATGATAAGCCTACAAACAAACATAAAGTCGGATCGTTAGTCAATCTTCCATACTGGAAATTAAAAAAGTCGACCCTGTTTAACTTAAAGATACTTCACCTCAGCCTGGGCTATCTCGTTGTCATGATGAGGAAACGCCAGATCAATGCCACCAGAATGGATATCAAGCGTACTTCCAAGTATTTCGCTAGATTCACAAACCGACAGTTAAACTTCGATTCTCAAAATAATGCATTCAAACAACTTTATGTTATACCTTGCCATGACCGAACACTCAATATGCCAACCAGGACGACCCTAAAAACAGAATAGATATAATGAACCTCCCGTTCTCATAACCTCTCTTGTACCTTTCCCAAATCTTTTCTCAACTTACAGGTCCCCAGGTTGACTGCCAAGCAGGCTCACCAGGCTTACTCTTCTTCCACAGGGCAAAGTCACTCGGATTCTTCTTTCCTCTCAAGTTATTCCCAAGACTGCCTTCACCCTCCTCGATCAATCCAAGATTGCCTGCTGACCATGGTTGGAGTTTAGCATAATGATGCCCTTTCTTGCCATCGAATGAGGCAGTATCAAAGTAGACTGATCCGTCGGCGGTGTAAGCGTAGCCGTTATCCATGATTTTCTGTATAAAGGTAGTGATTTCTGGAATATATTCACTTACACGTGTTAATATGTCGCATGGACGAACCTAATATGAGCAGAATTGGGTTTACAATAAATCATTGGATGGTGAGTAAATATCGTGTATGAATATGGAGAGATTGATATTAAAACATATCGCCATGTAGAACTAACGTTCAGTGTTTCCATGTCCTTCATAAATTCCTTCTCCCAATGAGCAGCAAGATCTCGGAATAGGCGTGGATCCGTTATCGAAGCACCTTTCTAGTATAGATCATCAAATTTCAAAAACTCGATCGATTAGTAATACGGTTTCAATTGAAAAAGAAACAACAAGTAATACTTACTTGATCGTCTAACCAGGCAGTAAGAACATCCTGAGCTCCCGTCAGTAACTTTAATGCTGCGTCTCTACTATCATCACCGGCATCAAGAGCAACATCCGCTTCGGCATTTGCTTCTAACGCGGCATGCTAACGACAGGGATAAAAATCTGAGTATACATCTTGTACAGAAACTCATTGATAATGAAGGCTTGGTAGACGACTTACAAAGATTTTCGTATGCATCAAATACTTGGGATCATTCTCGTCACTGTTACTTCCTACTTTGAGCACATTTCTGGTATAGAATTGTAGTGCTTGTGTTACTTGTACCAGAAGATCTTTCGTTAAAGATGTTATTGACGATTTGAATTCTTCAAATAAGAGATTATGACGTGCTCGAACAATGATCTATTGTAAAGCGAGTTGTATTATTATTATATAATAAAATGAGCGATTAACAAGAGCATTCGGACATCTATCCTACTGGCTATTACTCACCTTATCATCAATGTCTGTTATGTTCATTACAAACAGGACGTCATAGTTAAAGTAATCAGTCAATACTCTACGCAAGATATCTACCGTCACATATAATCTACGATATCAGGACGAATCACAATTATTACATGACCCATCAAGAAAAATAATCATTTCATTCTCAATTCTCTCTACCTTGCATGACCAATGTGGGAAGCATCATATACGGTGGGGCCGCAGTTATACCAAGTAACTTGTTTTCCCTTCTCGGGTGTAAATTCAACCTAGTACACAATAAAACACTGCAATCAATCAACTTGTCAAAATCCATAATCCTCCTCACGTTCAATCAATTCGTCAATGACATTGATTTATATCTTATCCCACTCGAAATTCACCTTACTCCTTGTAAGAGAATTATACAGTTTCAGAGTTGGTGCTGGACTAGAATTTACTGGCACACGCCATTCAGGTTGCGTTTTGGTCGACATGTGCTTACTCGTTTTCTGATTAAATATGCTAACGCTGGAATAAATATAATTTCCTCTTTTTCGTATATAGTGTTTCGAACAATTAGAGCAGCTTGTATATATCACTCGTGTAAAATCAACCAACGGGCGTCTTGCGCCTATAAATAATGGAGAGATGCACCTCATCAGATGATTTCACAAACATGTTTGCAACTGATCAATACGCAAACAATACGCGAATGCAGGAATGGGGTGGGACGAGAGTTCATTTTTGATCATGTGATTTAAATTAAATGTCGCAGCTTTAAAACATTCACAAAGGTAGTCACGTGAGAGCCATTTGGGTTCCTCTGTTTCAGATGTGGGTGCATGTGAATATTGACTATAATAACATGAGCAAGCGTATACAGATTCGCGCTCAAAACGAAGAAGGATCGTACATCTTGCGGTGAAACGTCGATCGAATAGGAGTATCAAATGGAAACCATGCAACGCCGCCTCACAAACTGTAACGCGGGACGATCAACAATTGATTTTTAGGAAAGTTGAATGTTTTCAGCGACGCAACTTGAATCTAGGAAAATGTCGATATAAAAACTATCATTTCTTTATCAAGGTGGCTGCTACGATATTAGATTTGAACGAAATTGATTACCGTAAGACTGTATTAGTATGGTCAAATTCTTTTTTCATAGTTGGATTTTCCAATATGATAGCTTTTTAAGTGATTGTTTTGTTAACAATAAGCTGTTACATATTTCAAAATTGTGGAGCATATACGGTTAATGCAACTGCATAAATACGTCATTAAAAGATAGCTACTATACAGGAATACTGATTTCTCATGTTACAATTGACACTCAAAACGAGATCTTGATTTAACCTATTAAATCAATGGTTTCTTTGTTTTATTACCGTTTTAGTTTAGCAAATGTCCCAATGTATACGAACACAACAAATTCCATGAAGCACCGTAGGATCCTCGTTGAGAATAGAACATTGCGTTAGTGGTAACCTCTGTCAGGCAAGTAGTGCAGCGGATAGTAATAATGATTTGCTTACAAAAACGCCTGCGAATAGATTAGACCTAACGTGATCAGTACTACTTGGATGCTTTAAGCGACGTGTTCTATTATTAGAATGGGTAATTGTATGTCACACAAGATTCCATGATATATACAGTCACGTACCGCGAAAGTCTGTTTGTTTTTATCTATTACTATCGCTTCGCTTGCTGATATATTGAAAATACCCAGTCTCCTTGAAATGCTACTGTTCCTCGAGAAAGTGTATACGAAATGGAGTTGAATAGGGTCTTGGCAAGTTGGCTCGTGGGATTCCGTTGGCTTACTAATACTAAAGGTTTGTCGGATTTGTAAATATGTCAATTTCGATCTTATCAACTGCACTAGTGGCTTGTTTTATTATTCCAGATATAGAACTTAGCGACTGTGGAGATAAGGTTCACAGAGGGTTCACCTATTATTCCAGAGACTGTGAAGATAGAGCTTACAGAGACCACTGGTTCGCCTCAGCAAATCTGTTACTTTAGAGACTGTTTATAAAGAAAGGAGAAATTTGGTATGTGACTGTATGTTTGGGCGATTACGTTTCCATACTTTTTGCTAATATTGTATTAACTTTTACGTCGGTATTTTTCTTACTAACTACGTAAGACTTCGGTATCGCCCTCATTCTTGTTACTCAATTATTTGACAAACGTGCTAAGTATCCATTTGGTCAGGATATTTACGGTATGCTCAGTATTCAATCATTATTATTATTTTTTTCACTTTACTTTAACTACTTATTTCTTTCCGATCGAAATACAGGCGTAATTAGTGAGTTTTCTCCATTTGACTTTACAAACGCAATATGCCAACAAGCGGATTACCGGAAAAAACTCTAAAGGAAGTGCAATAATCGGGGTAAGTATTTATTAGTATTTATTGCATTTATTGTTCTTCACTATATCAAATGCTAATTACTCTAACGTGTACCTGTATATCAGAATATTAGGAGGAATCCCATTCCAAGTGGGGAAATACAGATACCACTATTTCATCGGAAAGATACCAGATGCAACGAAATAATGCTCTAGGCGCTGAATCAAAGTTTTGATTCGAAATCACAAAAATTCCGAAAAACGCCCGAATGACCAGCATTTTACAAAGAAACCTCACGTCTTACGATGTTCCTAGTTCTATCGCGATTCGATTAAACTATATCGAAACGCTATGAGAACCTTAAACGCGTTATTCCCAAGGAGCGTGCGCGCGTATACTTAGTGCAATCATTCAGTAAGTAATTATAATCAGACATCTAATGTTATAAGCTGCATTTGTTAACTATCATTGTATTTTTTATAGATGGATTTAGTTCGACCGCTGCCAACAATATACATACTCCAACGATTTATGCGGATCAAAATACCTTCTACCTGTGAGTGATTTCGAACAATTCTCAAAGGCCATGACGGATGGCTCGAAGAAATACAGAACCTTTTACGGTGACAGCCTTCCATTCGATCAAAACCCACTATATCCTGTTTTTCAAATAATAGGAGATGGGTTTGAAATTGTGAATCAACCTTGCTTCGTCTGCAGCACCGAATGTGGTAATATTAGAACCTGGACCGAATCCGTGTAGCAATGAAAACGTACATGCAGCTATGCTAATGTATTTTGGTGATGTTGGATTAAACTCGGGATATATTGACTTTGGAGAAATGTCGTTATTATGACCCCTCGGAACACCCAATCAAAAAAATAAGTGGAAGGTATTGATTGGAGAGGCAGCGGAGGCATCGCAAACTCGATGCAAGAGAATTTGAAGACAGTCGGACATTGAAAATATTGTCTCCGCCAATAATTATCAAAGTGTCGCCTCGCCTCTCCACCACGTCACGTCTCCGCCAATATTATACCAAAGTGTCACGTCCCAGTCACCTCGCTGCCTCTCCACTATCATTCCACGTCGCGTCTCCAGTCGCCACGCCTAATCACAGAGTCAGAGTTCCCCACCCCTTTAACTCAGTAATACTAAATGTCACATTCCCAAATGTTAGCATTTGGCTAACGCAACAATTTCAACCGGATATAACATCATCTTAACAGATAAAAATGACTTGTATTCGGATTTGATTAATTTCATCGAGTCTAGAAAAGACTCGATAGCTCTAACAATATTTATTATTATATCATTTTTCTAATAACGTTAAAGTCCTTTTTGTTCTTATTTTGTTTATTCTCATGTTAATTTGGTTGAATCTGAACCAAAATGAAGATGTATCGGTTTATATTCATTAAAACAAGTTTGTTATATAGCGAAAATAATGGCGGACAGTATTTTTTTTAATATATCGACTTTGTTCTTATCATTTTTTTTTCTAAAAAAAAAATTTTATTTAACAAAAGTTCAAGACTAACATTATAACTTGCAAAAAAACCAAAATGAAAAGTGGCTTCCTTTTAGATCAATATTATGAATGTAAGTTGACAAAAAGCAAATGTAAAGGCTTTTTTTTTACATCAACAGATTAGATTATATCAGGCAAAAATTATATTTTTCGACTTGTAATCTTCTAAATTTTAATTAGCAAGTCTAAAAACGCGAACATCTTATAGTAAATTTGAGACTGTTATTATAAGTTTATAATTAATCCAAATCTCATCGAGATTATTAAATACAAATATAAAGACAAGGGTATTTTTAATCATGCCTGACATATTAAGTAAATAAGAAAAGTAACAATACATTTACATATTACTATAATAGTAGATAACCGATTGTTGTATTGACTTTAAAAACAATTGTCACCGCCATTATTTTTGCCAGGGACTGTATATAATACATCGGTAATGCATGAGGAAATTCGTAAAACGCAAACAAGCGAATTCCATTTTTTAACTATTCCATATAAATATATCGTATTAATAGACTGGGTTCTCATTGATGTACACGCGCTTAATACGATCGATAAGATCTTTTATTGCATTTCCACCTCTCATATAAACATATCTTTCGTAAGCAGCAAAGTAGAATAGATCGATTGTATTGCGCAATAACTTTTATTGATATTTGATACAATACATATGGCAGGACTAGTTACACAACCTGTCAAAAAGCAAACAAGATAATTCCCATTCGAATCGTTTCATAATTTGCATTATACTATTATGGCTAAGCAGTACTAAAGCAAGGGGGGTAACTATACTAGAGCAATGCATTACGGCAATAAAGACTTTAATATATTAAAAATATGGTTAATAGTAATTGTTGTTATTCTACCCTTCGGTGAGTAATCCGGCAGAAGGGAGACTGCTTCACGTTTCTTTGGAGTGTCATTCACCGAAGTTATATTGACGTTATGTCTCATAACATTTGTGGTTGCTTTATTTACTGACCTAGCTGTTGACAAGACGTCAGTCTGGAGATATTGGAGCTATAATATTAAGTATTTTCTACACTCTACTTAAATCTGGTGAGTAACGAAAGTAGAGGTTTGTATTTTGCAGTAAATCATATCGTCTACTGCGTCTTCAATTTAATGCGAGTGATGTTGATGATCGACAACTCTATCACTTAACCTAATTCATTACATCACCTTTCGCTAAGTGTAGCGTGCGAATTTTTTATATTCTAAATTATGAAAATTGGGAACAAATATAACAAGTTAAGGATTTATCCGTAAGCAAGGGGGAAGATGCATAAAATCCCTTCAAAACTATCAAATGTCGTCGATCTATTTCTAATTGTGAAAAAGGTACCCCGCCAACGTTTGCGGTACACCTTTCAGTGTTTCATTTGTTTCATTTGTGTACTACAGCGCACAATCTTCATCAACTTTGCGGTACTCATATTTTGCTTTTTGGTCTTGTTCATTTCTCCATATACCCTTTCTTATGGAAAATTACGCTCATCCAAAAACTCCTCAGTCTGCTTCTGTCTATGAACAAGAAACAGTTGAGCTGAGTGGACACGATAGCTTTGAACTTGACAATGAAGATAGAGTAAACCTGTTGGAAACTCAAGATGATATTCAGACCCAGAGATGGGGAACACCTATCTACGGTCGTAAGTTTCATACAATACATCATGGGCTCTTCGTACTGTTGAATACTTATATGTTTGTTGCGACTTTTGCACTGAGAAAATCGTGGAATCAACAGGTTAGTAATAAGCGACAAAGGATGTACTAATGTATAATATATGACGTATGATGTATAATTGTGTATATACTCTATATCGTTATGATACAAGCTTTATATATTTTTATCATTATGTGGCTAACAAAACAATGCAAATCTCTCAGCTAATAGACTCACATCCGGGAAGCTTGACGCAAGTTAGAGTTGCATTTTATCTGGAATCCACAACTAGAGTAATAACGCTAGTGCTCGCATCCATATTTCATACTTATAAGAAACACACATTTCTAAACATCCTTGGATTGACATTAGGTATGCTATCAAAGGATGCATGAATTAAATTGTATATCGATTGAGGATTATTTATTAGATTATCGCAAGAGACATATCGCTATTGTTCTGTCAATGATCCTTATCTTCATCTACTTTATAGGACGTCTAGATTATCACCTTCTGGTACACTTTTACAGGGAACACAACGATCTCCGTACATTACTTTATGCATTAGAAGCGATGTACTTGTTTGGAAGCGTTAGCACATTGCTCTACGTCTGGACAAGCCTATGTCAAGCAGCCGTTGAATCTGGCGGCGTATCGATTCTTGTCATAATATCTACAGGAGTGTGTGTATTGACAGTGTTCAGAGGTTTTGCAACATTATTATTTTTATTACACAAGAAATTTAGATGATGAAAGATGTGTACGTAATGTGTATTATTATTATTACTATAAGAAGATAATGGAAATCTAATACATCAAATGATTGGTTAAAGCCAAAATACGCATAAGATTATGGGATACATGTCCAAAAGATATGTCCCTTCTCCTATGCACAATAAAAGTATTCGTATAGAGCGTTTAGTTCTCGTGCATGGCTTGCCATTCAGTGGAGAGATTGATGCCATGGCGCGATTAAAGTATTCAAAATATACTCTCATTTTCTCGAAGCTTTTAGTAATTTGTGTAAAATCTGTACTTTCTGGCAGCCTATCGGCTTAATATCCGAAAAATGCATGGCAAGCGAGATTATTTTGGAAGTATAAGACTCGACATGAGGTTTAATATATTAACAAAGATAAAGGCATTCTATCATTTATTGAACAGATAAAATTGACACTAAAAGGGTTATTAATTAAAGTACACAAAATACATATATCATCTGACATTTTTAGTGTTACATTTATTATTATAGCTGCTAGTCCTGCCGTCGCAGGGAAATTGACATACGGTATTATGGGTTATTGTTAACACCAGAAGATGATACCTAATCCGTTCAAATTTACTGTTCCAACAACAACAAGTACTACTATAGCTTTTATTGCGGTTATACAAACACTTAAAATTAGTAATAGCGAGAGGCAATCTAAGCTAAGTGATAAAGATCTTTACAAGATGTAGTAGGCGAAATAAAATGCCAACATTTACAGGAAAGTTTAGATAGCACCGAAGCAATAGACTTTGAAATTCGCAAAAGTCCCATCATTCGATCGTCAAGGATAAACTACTTCCTAAATTAAAGGAAGTTTTGATCCTCATGTTTAAATTGTAATGAATAGTATAAGTATGTGCTCACTGAAATTTTTAGTGGAGCTACAATAGATCGCCATTGATAAAATAATGACTTCTCATATCCGAAAACGAGGTTATCTAGCGACGTTATTTTGGTGCTACATTCACGAGCTTCGAGTATCTGACTCTCTTCCGTTAGACATAAGGAGACATTTATTGGTTCAGTTGCGTTAATGCTATACTCATAGTGCATGGTATCACGGCGTTGTAATCATGCTCGTCAATATTAATACATACACTACCTGCTTGCACATTAATTACACATAATAATGATATCTCAAATTTTAACACCGGTTTTAAAAAACGCGTGTGCATCAGAATATATAAATAAATTCGCAAGCCTTCATTGATCCAAAAATGTACCCCTTAACCGAAAGTCAGCGAGGTGAAATTATTGGCCCTTAAAATAAACAATCAATACAAAAATTAGTAAAATGCTCAAGTTCAGAGAACAACCGACTCTTGCATTATTGGGAAGTACCTTAACGGAGATAAGCCTTTCTACTCTTCCCCGATCCGGGCGTCCTAAATTATTGACTAACGGAAGTCAAAAATCCTAAAGACTATCGTTAAAAAATAACAACAAGAAGTCAGCTGAACAAATTAGAAACAAATTTGTTGAAAAAGCTAATATCAAAGTTTCCACAAAAACTAATAGAAGAAATTTGCATGAAATGCAGATTTTGTTCTCGTATACCAGCCCACAACCTCTCCTAAGTGATCAGCAAAGAGAACAATGCCTGGGCACTGAAAGACTGTTCGAAAATAGTGATCTGTCATATGGAGTGACGAGAGCAGATTTACAATATTTAAAAACGATGGTCCAAGCCGTGTTTGGAGAACTCCTGGAACCAGATTTAATATTGAGAATATGATTCCAATAGTAAAATTTGGAGGTGGAGGATTAATGATGTGGGGATGCTTTTCTGGTAAAGGAGTGGGCCATTAGTAAAGCAGAAGGTAAAATGAAGATGACAATGTTCCAGTCCATACTGCTGCTGAAGATGTTAAGCAATGGATTTCAACTAACAAAATCAAATCTTGCCAGATTGACCAAGTCAGTCTCCTGACTTAAATCCAATTGGTCTGAGTTAGAAAAAAGAATAAGAAGCAGACCACAGGCAATAAAAAAAGTTGCAGAATTAGAGACGGCATGACAGGAAGAATGGGGCAAAATTTCACAACGTCAAGTAAGGGCTTTGATAGAAAGTATGCCGCGGAGAATCAAAGCAGTTATAGTGAACAACGGGTGGCCAACATAATATGTAGTTACTTCATTGGTTATAGTATGTTATGTTAAAATTTGAGATATTATTATTTTGTGTAATTTTGTGTGCAAGACTTTTGTTCAGGTAGTGTATATATGTTTTTTGTTTCTCGGAAAGAGGATGTTCACATTGGTATATGTCTCGTAATTTCCAATTTTTCTACACTGTAAAATGCGTACCAAAGTTTCTCGATATCGTGAACTCAATGAAGCTTGGACACATGTCTCATTTATCGAAAGAGGAATCCAATGGCAGGAGAAAGCAGCACAGTGATGAATCCTTTTAAGACACAAAGTTGATAGATATCGAAAAAAAATAGATATAAAATAATTCGTTAGATCATTATTATTACATGAAATCACACAACCTTTTGTATTGTGCGAATTCTGACTAACATCACCTTTCCAAGTATTCCAGTTTTATCAACGTTACCGGTTAGGCCTCTATTACGCAATCGATCTGATGGACAATGTGACTGTTTCAAAACAAAAATATCAAACCCGTAGTTTTAATAAGAAATATCAATTCTTATCCTATTGGATGCTCAGATATGCTTCCAAGGCACCTGTGATTTTCAGCGGTGATCCAGGCTAATTTCTTACAATTTCTCGACATAATTGTTTGGTTTTATATTTATACCAGGTACCACTTTTCATACCAAGAGATGCTTGCCATAATTGCAACGTCATAATAATAATAATTGATTATTTTTATACTTGGTTGAAAGGCATTGTCTATGCAAAATGGACCAACGAAAAAGAATCAATAACTTTTTTTTAATAATAACTGTTTATCAATGGCTATTTTGCTATATTAAAATGGGTTTCTTTTACTGCATAAATTTGACAATCTTATATCAGACAAATCTTAAATGTTTAAATGCTTTTTAATGGCTTTTTTAATATTTAGATAATTATATTAAATGAGATTTTAGATTTAACAATTTAATTTAACAATGTTTTTAGATTGTTTATTTGATTTTTAGAAAGCATAATCAAAGAGTTTGACGTCTTAAAATTTGATAGTACGTGTATTTAGTAATTTGTTGTTATTTGATAAGTTAAAAAACTATTACTGAGAAAATTAAGAATTTAGATATACAGTGTGTCACGAAAAAAAGGAAAAAAACTATTGATTGCTGTGCTACAACGGTTAGAGTAATGAATAAGCTTTATACTTTATTTAATAACTTATGAGCAGAGGTTTTATTGTCATAAATTAATAGAGTATTTCTTCACAAATATTTTCCATAATTAGCTTACGTTTCTGTTTTATCGATTTTACTAAATTAATTAACATTTTATCAGAAATAGAATTTCATTCTTCGACTATAACCGTCCTAATTTCCCACAATTTTTGAGCATACTTTCCTACGTTATGTTGGCCAATTAGTATAAATTTTCTATAGGATTTAAGACTGGACTATTGACAGGCCACTAAGCAATGTGTAGTAATCGAATTTGACAGCAAAAGGCTAGGGTTTGAGCAAAAGAAAGCTTTAAGCTTGTTTGACAGTTTAAAAACAACCGTAAGTGTTTACATTAAAATATAATTTATATTGCATAAAATATACGCTTCTATTTTTTGCCATTTTTTGCGTGATACATTCTACGTGCCGCTCCTGATACTGGCACAGAAAAAGGTTTGTTTTTTTACCTCTACTCCAGAACCAAGTCGATAACCAAAGGCAGGAACCAAAATACACAAAAATTGTGATTATGAACAAATATAATAAATTTTATAATCGCTTTCACACAGTGATATGCAGGAAGATAATCCTCACGTGTTTATACAAATGGTAATTCTAAAATTGGTATTGACCTTCGTTGACTTGTATCCCTAATTTAGGTCTCATAGTATAAATTATATTGTTCCGTCTATCAGGTAACTTCAGCTTCACGCACTGGAATTGTTATAATCTTGCTTATTCTGGTATGCATTGTGAGGGATAGATAGAGAAGCGCTGCTCATTATGCATTAAACTAGGCGATTGCGCGTAAATCAGTTACTATACGGATAATACACGATAAAACTACCAATTAAATAGTATTAAAAGCATCCCGGGATGCTAACAGAATAATGCTTAAGGTGATTGGTGTCAGAAAATCGGAAAGCTTTATAGCGGAGGAGTAAAAACGTATTCCTGAAAACACTCATAATTAGAGTGAATTTCTTAATATTATTAATATGATTTATCTTTCAAATAAAGTCTTGTTTATGAAAATTTGTTAGTTGAATCGTTGAGGAGTACTGGCAAAATTAAAATATCTGGTTTTTTTGTTACACACTGCATCCGTTTCGAGAACTTCAAACTTTTGACCTTGACGTCTTTCGTGCTGTCTATAGTTTGTTCGACCATCACATTTTGGAAATAAGTCTTGTCACATGTTAATATTATTATAACACATGTTAATATACGGTTCAAATATAGATATGCATAAAACCATGCAGCAAATTCAGGTCCAGCATGACTTTCTCTATATGCACATTTGTGATATCCATGCTAAAAAGAGAGCAATTACTACCCAAAAGGTTAGTCAATTGTATTAACCCGGCTTTCCTGGTAAAAATCCCAATTTCTTTACTAGCTATTTTTTCTAATGTCGGTGCGTAATACGTACGATTGGTACATGAGTATTACCGTATATCTTTGTATCTCCCAACACTAAGGCGAATGTACGAAAAACTTTTTCTTCCATAACACAGTCATCTGGCTTAACCTTTTTTTACTTGGAACGAAACCAGGACGGATTTTTACTGGACATCCAAGTTCATATTAATGGTGACACTGAATAACATTGGCAGAACCGTTCTGAAGAATACCACATGTTTGTAGTTGAAGCATGTTGGATA